TGGTTGTTTGAAGATTCTAATAGATCTGGACAAGATTCCAATAGATTTGGATCTGTTAGAGCGGATATGATTTATGGAATATGCCCAGCTTAAGCTTTCTTCCAAACAGAGACATGTTTGGAGGACACTCGTTTCAATATTGAAATGAGCTGTCGGGCTAGTTGATTTTGCATAATTACCATGTAGCGCAAGGACAACACAGGAAGGAGACAGAGATAGGAAAGAAAAAAACAAATTAGTCCTTAGTTGTTTATATAGCAGGAGTTTAGTCTGCCAAAATATGGCGACATTGTTACCCACTGTAGATAAGCAATTTAACCAGTGCAGTACGACTGCTAGCCTGGGGTCTTTAACGTGCACCACGCAGTAGTGATACACGACCGCACACCGGTACGATGCTTACCCAGATCGAAACGGGCAGGGGTGGGGATTGAAGTTTGAACCCAGGATCTCTGGGTTCTGCAGCGCGAGCTTTCGCTCCACGTGCTCCAAGCTGGTGTGTGCTAGACCACTCGGCCACCGATCCCCCTATACTCTGTTTCATACTTAGCGTGCAACGCTGTCAAAGCTACTGGCGCGGGTGCGTGGCTTTATCTACGGTTTTGCTTGCGCGAGAAGGCGTGCAAATGATCAACGAGATCAAGCCCCACGCTCGCGCCAGTAGCTTTGACAGCGTTGCACCCTAAGTATGAAAGGGAGTATAGATAGGAAAGAACGCTTACTCACAACTAGGTGTCTACTTTATGTATCATGAAAGAGGTAAACGAAGTGACAAATTCGATGAAAATCAACACTAATGATCGTGAAAGAGGCGAACAAAAGTGACAAATGCGATGAAACTAAAAAAAGCGGGTTTCTTTTAAAATATTTTTTACTCATTTTTTTTCTTCTTTTTTGGAGGGGTAATTTAAGTCGATCATCAGTGTGGATCAAAGGGTCGTCTTCTTCCTTTTTTTGAGTTTCATCGCATTTGTCATTTTGTTCGCCTCTTTCATGACCATTAGCGTAGATTTTCATCGCAATTGTCACTTCGTTTACCCCTTTCACGATACATACAGTAAATACCTAGTTGTGAGCTAGCGTTCTTTGCTATTTCTGTCTCCTTCCTGTGTTGTCTTTGCGCTACATTGTACTTATGCAAATAATTACACTCGTTTTAAATCTGAGTCTCTAAATTGTACCGTGAAGTTACTAGGGAGTGGCTTATGCATAGGCTTGAAAATAACTATGTTTGCTAACATTGACTTCTATTTGACTAGACTCTAGCTACAGCGCAAGTTCGCGCAGCCATATTTTTGATAAACCTTTTATTACACTGAGAACCTTATCTATGAAAAAAAAACAAAAAAACACATCGGTGTCGTCTGCACAAAGTATCATATCTGGAGTTCGCGGAATGTTTACGATATCATTTATGTACGACGAAAAAGTAAGGATCCTAGAATTGACCCCTGAGGCACACCATAATTTATTTTCATCAGTTGCGATTCATACTCATTGACTTTTACATATTTTAATCGTCTGGATAAATAGCTATGAATTAGGACTCAAGTTGTGCCCTTTATGCCATAGTGCGTCAGCTTCTTCAGAAGGTTGTTATGTTAAATCAAATCAAACTGCTTACGAAAAGATATTAACAGGATACAAATGATTTTTAAAACTAATAATTAGTTTATCTTTGATATATAACGAGGCTTTTTTCGCGGATCTGTTTTTCTGTAAGACATATTGTTGCTTTAAATTTAGGTTATTTGTTTAAAGGTAACCAAAAAGCCTAACGTTGATTACCTGTTCCAGAACTTTCGAGAATGAACGTAGCACGGAAATTGGCCTATAGTCATTGATATTGTTGCGTAAGCCACGTTTAGTAGCAAAGTGTTGGAGGGGCCCGGCACGAAATAGAAGTCCCTTAGCTCGTCGTTTTCGCCGCATTCCACAAAGTAAACGTAGGCGTTCCTCCGAAGAGTATTGACTCCCCGAGGTTGTTCCCCAGCTTTTTTTAATCTTCGCATCTGTTTTGATAAATTAATTTGTTTCGAATACCGCAAAATATTTTTACAAAACTGTCAAACGGAATAAATAAAGATCCCAAAAGGTTTCTTTAACGGATATTCAGATCCAGCTATATCTTTTTTTTATCAGATTCGAATACGCAAGCATGGAACTTTACCTTTTTTATATTTCAGGATGGCATTAGTTAGCATTATCACGCAGCGATCAATCGATGACTTTACTGCACTAAAAACACAAATCCATAATATAATAAAGGCTTTTCAGTTACTCAATTTTTTCAAAGAACTGCTACATTACGTTAGTACGAAGAAGAAGAAGTGTCTACCATTGAGCAACGCAAGGCAGATGGAGGTAAAGTGCACTTAGATTTTTTCTCGACCCTTTAAGAAAAAGAAAACAACTTGTTTCACATATTCAAATAACGAGAAAGAATATCACAACAACCCGGTACATTCGCAAGAGTTGGCTGCAGAGAACCTCGGCGTTTTCAGTTATTCTTCTTACACTCATTCTCGAACTGAGACTTCAGTTCTAATTTAAGGCCTTAAAGTTCTTTCCTGCTCCTCGCAATATGAATGATGACTTTTAATTACAGAAATGTCGAAATTATTTTAGATGACAGTTACAAAATATGTTTTTTTTTTCCAAAGGAGCGATTAACAAAAGACATTTATTCAAATAGAAATCTTTTTGGGCTGCTTCCTTAGATAAAGAAAAGAATAATGCCGTGAAATATATAGGCGGACACACAGATATGTTTTATCCCCGCATAAAAAGCAGAGACACCTAAAAGCAATCTAACATGCAAAAACGGACAATGCCTAAAACAATTTACAGATAACAGAGACATTATGATTGCTCAAGCAGATAAAGGAGGTGAAATACGTAATGTTAATATAGTTGATTACATTAGGCAAGCAGATAGACGACTAAATTATACTAAATAATATAGAAAGCTAGATAGTGATCCCACACGTAATTTTAGAGACAATTAAGACAGAATGAAATTGTTGACTAGAAAATAAAAAGACAGAAAATAATATTTTTAAGTATCTCCTACAAAAAAAAAAAAATCTAGACCGAAACATTCTATAAAAATGTTTTTTTTTTGGCTTACGTCTTGTGGGTCGTTCAACAGCAGGTTTTAATTGCAACTATGTTCTGCCATTGATGACATTCCAAGACATGCCAAGATATCTTGGAATTTTGAAACTTTTTACAAAATATTTATAAAAGGCAGCGTAAGGAATAAAACGACGAAAACATTAAAGTGTAGGGAAGAGGGGGCTACAGCATTATTAGTCACCCAGGCCTATGTTACTGCAAACTTCGCTGACAGCAATTAACGCGCTTAGTGGTCAGAATACAAGGAGCATTGATGTGTTTCTCTGCTGCCGCCACATGCAGAGTACCCTCTTGGCACCATTGCATTAAACCAACTCCCCGAAGGAAAAATCCATCAATGTAACCCTGTTTGGCAGTCAATGTTTTCTAGTGGACCGCTGACTGTGCCTAACTGTACGTCAAGCATGTCTGATTGGCCAACAAGTTACTCTGACCGACAGTCAAACTCCAGTCAGACTCCACTTGTCGGCTTTCTGATGGTTTCCTGGTGGCAGTCGGCCGCCGCGAAATGCCATCAAGATGTCTTGGTGGCGATTCTGATTGTACATCGATTGTCTCTGACTGTACGTCAAAAAGCTTTGACGTGCAGACAGACGTACGGTCAAAGGACGTAAAGTTCGTTCGGATACCACTATTTCGTCAAATCTATGAATACGAAAAATAATCTATGCACAGGAAAACGATTTCGGGACGTGAGCCCCTTAAACCGCTGATGTTAGAGATATGACACGCAGCCGACCGACAACCTTGATCAGAAGCCCGCCGAAACGCCGAACACGCCACTTCGCTTCGCCCATAGAGGCTTCGCCGAGAACGATCGCTCTCGACTTGTTTTGTTTGCCCGCTTGCTTCAACCTGTCGATCCTGCCCGGGCTCTACAATGTCTTATGTTTTAGTAGAATTTCTACTCGACAACACCCAGCCTGTTGTGAGTTCCGACGATGTAAGGGACTTTAGCGGTGTAGTTGAAGACGACAAGGTGTACCAGGTCTACTGGGCCGGTGACGCGCGAACAAAATGATCGTTCTACGACGCGAAAGTAATCTACATGGCAGGTGAGTAGAACTGAAGTACGGCGAGTGATGTACGAGTGCTTTGCATAACATGCTGACGGCTGAACTGCCTTTGCAGCCGAAGCATCTCGTATAAAACGAATGGTCAAATCGAGTTTCCAAAGCGATGGCATAGCATAGGGGCAATAAAGAAAAGAAAAGATGGCATAGCATAGGGGTTAAGGTGCCCGATTTGTACGCAAGTGGACGCGGGTTCGATCCGCGGTGTTTCTGCTTTTTTTTTTTTCTCGAACATTTTGTTTTATCGAGGCATTTGGCGACATTTATGAGTGCGTATAGCTTTACTCTTATATAAATGCTGCCTTTGTTGATGAAATTCCCTTGGCAGTGGCAGTCAGACGTCATCTGATGCACCATCAGATGACGTCTGATGGTCCATCACGTTCCACCAAGGCTGCTGATTGGCAGTCAGTGTCCCAAATTACGTATCTTGATGGAATTTTCAATAGGGTCGTCGCGTGCTTGTTAAATATCCGGGAATGTGACTCAATCACTTTTCAAAGTTTTCACACTGCACCTCGGGATATTCTTTTTGAAAGGTAACCTAAATTCTGCCTAAATATTGCACCCGGTAGGTATTTACTAAATTAGCTTAATATGATTTTAAATAGTGATTTACGATATCACGATTTTGACTACAGTAGCCAGCAGGGTGAATCGTCGTTCCCGAATGACCTTACCTAGGTTAAGAAACTATCGGACTTCTTAAAACTACGTAGGCACGTCAAACAAAAAAGAAAGAAAAGATAACAAACAAGGAGCTGTTCAAACAATGCATCTTTGGAGGCTTGGCAGAAAGAGCAAGGGCGTCTAGTACCAACACGAAAACAACATCTGGCGCGAATTGGAAAAGTGAAATTTCCATTCTTTATTCCCATTCGCCGGCTTCTGAGCACGTAGGATACGCTCGAAGCTATAAAAGCCTACACTCGACGGTCCCGTTTTACCAATTGCATCGCTCAGGAAACATGGAGCTGCAGCGGCAAGTACTGCTCGTGACCTGGGCCATTCTCCTCACCCTCCACGATTTTGTTCATCCTGCTAGCACGTATGAAGCTAAAACTGCTTCTCATCAAGGAGATTCAATCAAGGCTGTGAACTTTACAGAAGTACGTAATTCTTAAGCTCTTCGCGACTGCTCTTTTAGGCGTGTTATTATCGAAATAGGCGCAGCAAGAAAATAAACTCGTCAAAATAAGTGGCAGATATACGTTATTGCCTACATGTTTTTTTTTAATTCACGATATTCAAGAGCATGTAATGGTAACTAAGAGGTTAAAAAGGTTAACGTCATATCGTTAAATGAAGGTGATTCGAAAGCAGTTCTGATATATGTGATTACAAATGGTCTGCATGAGCATTTTCAACTCCTCACTCACAAATATGCATGCCTCTCTACGCCTCTTTTTTTTTCTTCTTCCAGCTACAGACACATAACCATAAGTGCCTCTCCATAAGGTTTGGGCATACTCTAGACTAGTTGAAGCCGCAATTATGCCTCGAAATTGTCGATGATCGAGATATGGTAACAGATAAGTGAATTTGTTATAGGAGTCGTTGCACTGTACACCTAATTGTATATTGATTTTATTTCTACTCCATGGAACAATATTTTCATTCATGTCCCTGAATATTTCTGTAACTAATGAAATACGTTTCCACAATTTGATGCCATATGAGCGATGTTCAAGTACAGAAATAAGTAAATGAATGAAATGGAAATGACCGTAATGTACAGCATTGGCATGTTTAAACTGTTTTGAATAAAGTTAGGGAATGCGTTGTAGGAAATAATGTACCTGCATCTTTGGGAGGTCTGTTGCTCACAACGTCGTACTGACGGTTGTCGTTAAATGAAAAAAAAAAAAATGAAAAGGCGAAAGATATGTTTTTTTTTCCTGAAACCTCTCGAGAGCTTGAACACGGGAATGACCAAAACCAGAGTAGCAAACAAATGGGACCACAGCGGAATCGTAAAACCGAACGGGTCAATTGATATTTATTGAACCGGTTATGTATAAACCAAGCTTTTGTTTTCTAATAGTGACTATTAAGGACTAAACACTTTTCGTCATAGTCCAGCTTTTCTACATTTATTCAATGCTTACCACCTAGACAAAATATGCCAAGTAACGCAGCCTTGCAGACTGGCGTGGTTAACAATATATCAAAAAATAAGTCTACTATGTTCTAGGTAAGCAATCCAAATTCCAGTAAACAAAGATAAAACGCGCAAAGTTAGGCCACAATGTTTTATTTGAACGCGCGCAGCAGTGCCAAGTTGAACTAGTTGAGTTTGAAGTCATAGCACTCCAAATGGCCCTTATGAAAATGGATAGACTACATTTACGTAAAAAGTAAAAAAAAAAAAAAAATATTGGGGCTCCAATCTACGCTGTCAAGGTGGTTGGTCAGCGAAGCTGTGGTATCACCTGCAACGATTGCCTACTGCACTATAGGAAATGCCGCCGCCGGTTGCAGCACGCAGCCGCTGGTCGTATATTGCCGTTTCTTTTCCCTTTGTCACTCCTATAGTATTCACGCTGCTCCTCGGGAATCCTAACTATGCGTGACCTATTCATCGCGGTGCTGCAACAACACTGAAATTAGTTGCTATGCTCCGTTTCATCTTAGGTTTAAGCGCAGCGGATGTAACGAGCCATCCGGGAGCCAATCGGAGGTCGTGTGAGTGTCACGTTACTTTAGAGAGGAGGCACAGCAACGGGCGGAAAACGTATCACGGGCCACGTCCACAGAACGGGATTTGCTAGGATTGCTCGCAGCCTCCGCTGCGTCCGGACGTAAGGTGAAACGGGGTATAGGTGGGTTCTTTTTTTATATATGAAAGGGTATAGTGACGTCACTCCTCACGTCGCAAGAATGACGTCAACGCTTTTCGAAGCAGCTGCAAACCTAATCTTTACCGGAATGCGTGAAAGGGTGTTCCTATTGTACACACGCGCCTTATCATCTATCGCGTGGTTTTGATGCTTGCTTTGCGGTTTTCTTTATTGAAATGGATACTGAGGTGTATGTTGTATGTCTGATTTCAAAGGAGATATGCTGTTTTGCCTTCAATTGTTCACCGGGAGTTGTTTGCTTACAACGCCAACGACACAAAACATTTCCTTGGCTGGTAGAAATAAACAGCTTCGCTGTAAAGAAAAAAAACAGAAAAAAAAACCACTGAAATTATTTTTTGTCGCTTCAATTTCAGTGGTTCCATCATTTCTCCAAGAAAACCCTTTGGCGAAATAACATATCCGCCAAAAACTCTTCTGTGCCTTCCCTGCTTGGGGTGGATGCAACCTGTGTAGAGATGGCATTTCTGGCTCCACGTGATCCAAGCGGAACAGTGCCGCTCCCCAACTTACTTGTGACCTACAAAACCTCATCGTTGAAAGAGTAAGGAATTTTCCTTGCTTTGTTGGGCCTTTAACACCAACACTGAAATCTGCAGACCATAACGTGTCTTTCTCCTTTCAGGGGAGCATATTTTCTAGACATTGATTTGAAATCTTCGGAGGAGGGTAAACCGAATGACACCCTTCGTTTCACATTCAGCGAAGGCGACGATCCAAGTAAGAATACAAAAAAAAAATCTACAGCTTCCGTGCACAGTCTAGATTATTTTTAGTTAGCCAATAGGTGTATTAAATACTTCTGTTGGGCGCTCTGTGTTCTTTTTCTTAGTTGATAGCCGATAAGTAATGTACTTAAAAGAGTTTCGCTCGTCGTATTAGGTGATGTTACTTATTTCGCATCCGAGGAAAATAGAACCTAAAAAATCAACCCATTTCCAGACGCTTTGTACCGGAATCGTTGAAGAAACATTTTCTTCTCCTACCATTTTAACCGCCTCTCACAGTAAAAATAAACTGCGTATTGGCGAATTCCCATGCCCCGCCCAAATATAGTGTTAAGGGCTTGGGTCCAGATACAAAATTTACGAAGCTTACGGGTCTCATTCAAAAGTTGCAGTCAATTTTTAAAGTGTGCGATTATATTATAGTGTCTTTTACTGGCTGCGGGTGGCATTATCGTATGGAAGTTGAAGAAAAAAAAAAAGATTGCTTGCAACTTTTGAACAAAGTAACAATAAGTTCTGAAACCTTCGCATCTCGTCCAGACAGATAGCGCTACATTTGGGCGAAAACTCGGCGTTCGCCGATGCGTAGGGAATTTATCCGGTGTGAAAAACATGGTTATTTATTATGCCATACATCCGGTATGATGTAATTGGCTTGGGTGTAGCGTATCAGGTTACATCGATGGATTCGAGTGCGCCCGTCGACGCCATGATAAAAAATAAAAAAAGTTATCACGCCTAATACTAACGCAACCCTTGTGTCCAATATATGCGGAGAATGCACGACTGATATACTATGGACTTGAATATAAATATAACAGCGAATAGCCGAGCTAGCGGATAACATTTGAAAAATTAGATTTCCAGATAATTCTAAGCTGGCTTTAAGATGCACAGATGGTGGCAACAATATAGCTTTAAAGCTTTTCGGCAGAGAGTTCCTTTGTTTACATTCTCATGTTTATGTCAATGCATGCTCATTGAATGGTATAATGCTAGCTATTCTGTTGTTATGCAAGCACTCCGTGAAGCAAACTGACATACAATCGCAGATAAACCGTATTTTGGTTTTTATAACTTTGGGGATGATATATATATATATATATATATATATATATATATATATATAATTTAAGAATTCGTAGTTTCCCCCTGAATAAATCCGGTAACATAGTTATCCTGCCTAAGGGAACAAATTAAAATTAAGCAGCGTAGAAGAGTGGTAATGGTAGATTATCTTGGACCAATTGTCTTGGTGCTTTATTTTCAGAGCTCGAGAATAGGACAGTAGAATATAAACTTCTGAATTACAACAACACTTGCAGCATTCTAGAGACATCAGCGGGACAAACAAGTAAGGCGAAAATTTATATTTTACATGTTTGTAACGTTTTTTTTGCAGTCGTGATAACGCATTGCTCAAAATAAAAGGAGCCTAAGTTAATAAATACCTATAACCTCTTTGAAATGACATTAATAACTTTAGCAATATCCCCATCTTGAGTACGGTATTGTTAAAAAACCTGTAACGTTTCATTTGGCAGGTCAAATACTCCTACAGCAAGCAATTGGAAAATAGCCTTCAGTAACTACTAATATGCAAAACAATTTATTTAGGTGACAACTGTCCGTATTTCTAGTGTACCTTTGCGCCATGTATGATCGTGTTTGCTAGAAATTACGGCCTTAGCTCTCAGTTCGGTTGTGCCCGGTTGTACGAACTTTGTTCTGATTTCCGTATAGTCCTTGTTTTGTGTTGCTTTTAACCCATATTTTTTTACTGTCATTGTATTTTTGCATACGTTTTCTTTTTTTTTTCGCCCCGCCCGCCCCCTTTACTTTGTATATTACGTTAGAACGAACGCCTTTGAGGCGAAAAAAAAAAAACTTGAGCTTGTACTCGAACTAGTGGGAAGTGAAGTTTCTTAGGAACGCCAAGGTTGTCCACTGCTTGGAGCATACAGTCGAAACATTGCTGTTGTTGAGATCGAACAATACAAGGCCACAAATTAGTGTATAAGATTTTCTATAAGGTAGATCTTGCTGTTACTAAGTTCCAATTACCCATGAATGTTTGAAGCTGCGCGTGTGGAAAGTGTCGTCGCGGTCGTTGATTTGTACATAGGATTCGTTGGATCGCTGGTTGCGTCAATTATAGGGCGGTTTCACGTAATATACTTCTCAGTCTAAATCTCAGTGGCCGCCGTGTTGATCAGATTGCGTCCTATTTTATTTTATGCGTGGAGGCAGCGTTTCCCAGCTCGCTCGAATCTATTTTCGTTGTGATCCACTGCGCCACCCAGAATATGAGGGAACATAAAGGAGCATCGTCTGGCATTCTGGTTTTATACATACCGGTTTTTATTCGTACTTATGACGAGGCAGCAATCCATATGTGATTTCATCGGCGGCCGAAATGGCTGAAGCAGATAACGCCAAAAATAACCCAAACGAAAAAAAAAAAAAAGAACTGAAAAAAAGAACCAAGTGTTGGTTTTTAGTGGCCGGAAATACGTTTCATACGTCCAATAGAGTTCTGTACCCGACGGAGCCACTCGTCATGTTTGTGTGCTTTACAAACACCATAAGACACGCAATATCTAAGCGTCTGCATGCACAGGAATGAGGAGAGTGGCGGCCGCTTTCCAGGAAAATGGCGGATGTAGCTTTCCGGAAGTGAAAAAGCGTAGTGTGAAACCGCCTTCTAAACTCGGGAGCCATGGCTCGAGTGCCTCCGTTCACCAAACGAGTCGCATGTTCTTCTCAGGGAAGTAAAGACGTGAGCAAAACGCGACCAACTGTGAGCGCTGGCATCAATGGTAGAAAAAACGAGAAATAGAGCGACCGAAGAACGTAAAAAAGAAGCTGACGATAGGTTCAAGGTGTTCATTTTGCCACGACGACTTGAAGCTTTTCATGAGCTTTTCAACTTTACTTATTTTTATACAATTCCACTAAATAAGTGCTAAATAAAGCTGTAAGAACACTAACTGCAGAACCTGCAGTTTATATCGTCCTGCTTCTTCGTGTATATTAAAGTGACGCCAGTGATCTGGGACCATCGGGACAACCCATGGGACCACAGATGTCCGAGTCTCTGTTCCGCAGTGCCGAAAGGGCCGCAATGCATTGGACATTCCCCTTTAGAATATTTTATGAACTCTGCTTTTTTCGACGTGCTTGCCTCGAGCATGACTCTTGCACATTGTCGGGCTACTCGAGTCCCGTAGAGGTCGAAGATTCTACTCCCGGGTCATGAACTTTAGCTGACACAGGAGATTCGACTGACTCGGCGAACGATCAAATATTTGATCAAATTTAACGAACTTTGACGTATAAAAAAACGTTTAAAAAAATCCTATATACTTGTGAATGTGTGTAAAAGTTTAGATAATGAGTGTTCATGTTCAAATAATACAGAAGCATGCTTATATAAAGATGATAACCTGTCGCATGCCTCTTGACTCAAGGGGCACCAAGTAAGCTGCTGTAAAATCTCCCTTGTGCGCTACCGAAATGCGAATTCCGTGGTACAATTGAACGAGAGCCTCTTTTCGATCAGACACAGGAGCCAGGATCATTGCAGTTTCGTGCACTTCCAATAAAAGCGACTCATTAAACTTTCGGTAAACCCGTCTTAGTTTTCTTACAATATAGCCATAATAATTACAGCTCGAGAGCGTTAAAACTTAATTATAAATGCAAAAAGAAAAGAAAAAAAAAAAGAGACTGACCGTGCGGCCGTGGCATGCTTCACTTTATTTCTCTCGTTTCAGACTGTTCGTACTGGGTCCTGTACACTGGTGATGAAACAACCGTTCCGGAATGGTGTAAACCGACCTCCATTGATCAGTGTGATGTGGAGGTGCACACCACAATCGCACCCACCGAATGTGAGGAAGAAAGCACTACGGAAGTTTAAAGTACGACGGTGTTGGGTGAAGATGTTCGTGAAGATTGAACAAGGGACGAGATGGAAGAACAGCGATAAGAGGAAGTTGAAGCAGCAGCCTCAAGACACAAAAGTAGCAACAGCAATAGAAAGAGTAACAGTATTTATCCCATACCAAGGAAAAGCGTTCGGTGAAGACATGATGCAAAAACAAAATAATACAAACTGGAAGTAAAATGATGCATATTTGAGACCTGCCGTGCCTCCTGGTGGAGTTTGTGTTACGGAAACGTTTACAGGTGTAATGTCGAGCACTTGCGCGAGCGCGTGTCTTCATTCAGACACTTTTTTCTTACTAGAAGGCATGTTAATGTGACCATGAATATCTCGTTTACAGGGCGGTGGCGATCTCGAATGGGGCTACTGCCATTACAAGCGATTACATTTTTTTTATCTCCCTGCTATTGGAAGTTTTTCACGTTGGAAGATTAAATGTCCCTCGTTCTTGTTCTGCGTCCAGTGTGAGTTTTGTGGCAATTTTTTTGTTTAATACATTGTTGAGGTTACGCATACCCTATACTGAAACCACTTGGTGGCTAAAGACGGCAGTGGACAAATACCTAATTTTGAGTAAATAGGAAAGATCTAGGCGACGTAACAAAGGAAGCAGTGATATTTACGCTTGAAACGTGAACACCTTCAATGGCATGCCGAGAGGGAAACGATGTTTTCACCCATACTAAAAGTTTCGTCATTCAAAATGGTGGCGGCTACGGAGTAAGAATGCGTATATAGACCCGTTTTAAAAGGACTGGCAACAGTGGAAATAATGAAGTTCGGAGTATCCTTAGGCTTCGCCTTTACGAGTGGAACGCGATAGCGAAACATGTAAACATATAAACTCCTGCTCGTTCCGAAGTCGGTCAAGCGTCCCGTGCGAAAATGTCATATATGGCCTTGATATATTATACATATGGCATATATAATATTATAAAGAGTCAAATGTGGCCATATACCACAATATATGTGAGCAAATATGGCCAGATATCGCCATATACGTGGGTCAAAATACAGCCATATACGGCCATATAAGTGCGTAAATACGGGCATATATCGCCATACACGCGTGGAAATACAACCATATATCGCGGTATAAAAGGTTAAATACAGCCATATATGGCCCGTTCACGACATATATAGATGGAATATATCCCCTAATAGTGGTTTATCGGCCCGTTTAGTACTATCAGATGTCGGTCGTGTAAGCGAAGAGTCATATGTACTCGCAAAGAGAATAGTTGACTTATCTATATTGAATGCGAAACATATGTTCTGCTATCGGTTAACTATTGTTACATCCTATTTAAAGGGAAGTTTATTCCAGATATCTGGACCAATTAATCTATTGCACATTTCGAAGATTGGTAGTCCCAGTAAATTTGGTTGTACATTTGACGTGTGACAATATGATCAGGTGCATATAATCGGAAAGCGAGTAAATCAAATAATGCATTTTAAATGTTGCCGAATAGGACCATGAAGAGAAACTCATCAGATGAATATCAAGCAGACTTTCAGTTAGGGCATAAACGTGCGGCATATAAGTAAACGACTTAATTTTCGCGAAGACCTAATTTTCGCTGCCGGTGGGGGATGGCATTGGGGGGGGGGGGGGGGGGAGGGAGCCAGGGAAGAAGGAAGGAGCAGCGAAGAAAGTAATTGGTGGAGGCCATTGTTTCGAAGTCACCAACCACTCGCAGCTCGGCCAACTCATGAGAAAGAGAGTCACTGCACCAATCATTCGTGCACGTACCAGCGTCACTGCAACAATTCGTGTGCGCAAAATAATTGCCAGATTTCAGTTGTATGTGCTATGCGATCGTACGTGGTAAGATATCCTGTTGTTCTCTGCAATAAGGGAAACTTAGTCAATGGAGTTTTCAGCACCAAGCGCGGACATATTAATCTGGTGTTTGAGTCGTTTGGATATGTAAAAGATAAAACTCGGAATGAGAAAACTTACTGGAGGTGCCACCGAACATCTGTAGACGGGTGCCACGGACGCCTGACAACCCAAGGTGACAGCATTGTCTCGATGAAAGGACATTCCCACCCATCAGAACCGTTGTTGAAGTACGTTTTGATAGCAGGAGACGACCTTAATCACAGGGCCATCTGCTTCAGTGACCCAGCTTGCCTGATAGTTAACGTACGTTTCGTGTCCAGTTTGCTACTTACATGAAATTACTTATTCATACGTTTAACTATCGGATATACAGGTTCTGCATTTCTCGCAGGCTTTTTTAAATGCAGTGAAAAAAAGGCAACAAAAATAGAAAAGTCGGAAGACACCTAAGCACTTCTTATGAGTTGTGAATGCTAAAGCATGAATGTCTGACGATGTGAATGCTAGAGGCGGCGCCATGTTCGTCGGCGTCGAGTCGAGCTGAAGCTTCGAAGGTTTAACCAGTTTGAGCACATGACTGAAGCTTGGCAAAGATTTTGAAACATCTCGAACACCCATCAGTTCGGAGGAAAGACAGGCTCGTAGCTCTCAAGTAGAGTGCCTTCATACACACGCGCGCTTTTGCTTGAGTGGTGACATCTCAGCCAATCTTCCGACCAATCGTTTCTTAATGCATTTTGAAGAGCGCGCAATCTGGTGTCACTGAGCTCGAGCGCGTAGCTTTGGCTATTGTATAGACGCCATTTTACCGCCCAAGCAACGCACGGAGTGCGCGAGAGCGTCACGCGCTGACACATTCAGGGCAACAATGAATGCCTTCACCCTCATACAGACAGACATGTAGGCACCCTACTTGCAAGTTTTGAGCCGGGCTCCAGGCGAGCAAAATAGAATATTGGGCTGGCGTTTCGATTGTGCGTCATCACGCTTCCCCGCTACAGTTTTTTTATACTCCCTGCCATTCGCAGTACCTGCGTAGCAGAGGCTAAAAGAGCGAGCTCTTGTAGCAGTGTTTCTTCTAAGCACGCGCGCTCGTGCAGTGCGAGCATCGTTCGGGGGAACATGTTTTTGCAAGCTTTAGCTTCGCTATCACGTAAAGTGAAACATACGGGCTCACGGAAGCTATGAAAGAACGCAATAAAATACTAAAGCTGTATGAAACGCTGGGGCCCACGAGCTGCATAATTCTTTTTTTTCTTTTAGTTTTTTTCTTTTTTTTAGACATTTTGTTATCACACGTCTACAGATGCTGACAAATGCTTGCATTCGAACGTGGCACGTGCAGAATCGAACGTTACAGCGCCGCCTGGATAGTGCTGCGAGGCTGCCAGCACAACATTGTCGCGACTTGCAGACGCGCTCGCGCCCCCTGCCCGAGAGCAACGGGTCTATACAAGAAAGAGGGGGCGTCTTTAAGTTGCTCTGACATTAGCGCGAGTCATCGCGTGAATTTGGAGCGTGCGAGAGCTCCTGCTTTGGAATGCGCCCAGGCGGCATTGCTCAGCATTATAAAGGCAGCTGGATGGACGGATCGCTGGTACTGGCTATTAGCGGCGAGATGTTTCGGTGGCGCCCTCGTTTGGTTTCCTTTCGTGACGTCATTGCCTTGTGAACAACAAGTTCGATGGTGTTTGTAATGGGCATGGTGGAAGCCTGAAATCACAGTGCTCTCAAGGCAACGCTGCCAACACCGTTAAAATGGAAGTTTTTGCATTCCTCTTATTTCCGTTAATGAGACATCATTTACTGACGTCATAGTCAGCATTCGGCCAATTGGGATGGGCCGACCACAGCGACGCTTTCGATCGCTCACGTCGCCAATACCCTTTTTAACAAGCGGCAGCGTGCTTGCCCAGGCAGCACAAAACGTCGTGGAAACGTCGAGAAAAAGTCCCGGACGTCCGTGACGTCCCGCATGACTTCGATCACGTTTTTTCGATGTTGAGGTGACGTCCTTATATAACGTTTCATTAGAGTCCAATCAGTGACGTTGTGACGACGTTGTATTTCAACCCAAACGTCGTCAACGTTCCCACGACGTCGACGCACGACGTTCTCACAACGTCCAACGCTCACGTTTCTTTGACGTTGAACCGAAGTTCATAAGTGACGTTCCTTTGTCGTCCTGTCCGTGACGTGCTGGCGACGTCACGTTTCAACTTTAACGTCGTCATCGTCGCCACGACGTCAAGACAAGACGTTTTAGCAACGTCGAACACTCACGTTTCTTCGAAGTTAAAATAAAGTCCAGGATGACATTACATTATTACCCCGTTAGTGACGTTTCAGCGACGTCGCGTTCATACCTAAATGTCGTAAACGTCATACAAGACGTGCTGGCAACGTCGACCACTCACATTTTGTTCGACGTTTTTAGATTTTGCAGCTCCATCTCCAGCCGCAGAATCACTGTGGTCAAGGTGACAGTGCTCAAGAGCCGCAAACAAAACTTGATTTTTGAGAGGTTGAGGAATTTAAATATTTATACATTAATTTGCGTATTTCAAAATGCTATTGTTTGCAGATCGATGACGCTAGGGAGGGCATTTACAAAACTCAATGTACACGGAAGAAAAAAAAAATCTGAAAGCATGTTGGGTATATCATTTATTTTAGATGTGCTTGTTATAATTTTGGTTTGTTAAAAATATTGTTACGGGTTTAATTTGCAACTAGGAACGGAGCGTCTAGAACGAATCGAATAGTGCAATTCTTGAATTTTGTATCACTACTACGTGGTGCACGTTAAAGACCCCAGGCTAGCGGTTGTACTGCACTGGCTAAATTGCTCATCTACAGCGAGTGACTCGTGGCAACTTTCAATGGCTGACCAAGTACACGCTGTATAAATATCCCCATAACCCAATTTGCTTTCTGCACGCGCGTTGTCGTCTTCCATGGGTCCTGGGCCCTGGCACGCGCCTCAGGGGCGCCGCTACACTGTCCCCTCTCCAGGTCATTTCAGGCATGCATCTTTTCCTAGGAGCATCCATACTGCTTCGCGACCACCCGAGATTGTTTTAAGGTTCGTCATTTTATCTTCGTATTTTCTAACTCATGCTCACCTGCGCACAACCAAAAAATTCGCATCAACATCACAGTTCATCCACAACACCAACTTCCAGCGCCTTAGCGTTTTCAATAAGTCGGGGCGCAAAGTCTTGTCACGTGACTGTCAGTACAGATCTGGCTTTCGTTGCCACTGGTGACGTATCGAAACGAAAATCACATGCCAGCACACACTATATCAAAGCACAACTTCACTGCACACTTGCGCATTTTTGGAGTTGACCCCCCCAAAAAAAACAATGC